AACCAAATATATATATATTTATATATTCCATGAATGAATATATATATATATATATATATATATATATATATATATATATATATATATATATATATATATATATATATATATATATATATGTATTAAATTCGACAGAAGGAAAATCTGTTTGTTTGTTCTGTTTTGCATCTTTTTTGCGATGAGGCTACAAATAAAAAAATTGTATATATATATATATATATACACATATATATAAATACACATATATATAAATATATATATATATACATAATATAATATTATATTTTTGTATGAATGATTCATGTAATATAAATTGAACTGCTTTATATATTTGATTTAAAAAGAACTGATCCGACGTGCAACTTCTGGGATAGAAGCTGCGACTTTGCACTATTTATTGAACAATTTAGTTCATGCCACATCGACTGAAAAAACTACTACAACAAAAGAATTCTCTAATTACCATATTAGTAAAAAAAATGCACTCTCTTTTAAATTTTCAAAAACATTCAACCTTAGCGTTGCGACCGAACGCTCCAGAATTTCTTACAGTTAACAAAAACACATTTCTAAAAAAAAATATATTTCAATTCACATTTAATCTTTCGTGTCCCGTTATTACCTGGATGGATTTAAAAAAAACAAAAACAAATCAATTTCCATGCCTGATGATGTCTGTATGAACAGATGAAAGTACTAGCAAAAAAAGACCTTATACAAGTTGACTTTATTAAAAACAGGGATCATAACATTCGTCTAGAGGTTCGTGGGTTAATGTAATTTTAATAAATTTGTTTGCGAAGATGTATTCTCGCCATTTATATCATTAACTTCACTAATCTGTTTTTTGTATGAGATGATTCATATAATATATATATATATATATATATATATATATATATATATATATATATATATATATGTGTGTGTGTATGTGTGTGAGTGTGTAAAAATTTCTCATATTTCTGGAAATGACACACAAATTTATTTTTGTGTTAATTTGGTATATTTTGGTGAAAATTTGATATTTTATAAATGTCGATTTCATATAGCCACCTGAAAAAAATTGTCTGAATTGTACTTTAACAAATTATGAAAATATTTATTATGCCTTAACTTTACAATACTTCAAATTTTCCCGAGTAATATTTTTTGTTTAATTACACCCCATACAAGGCAATAAAGCCACTAAGACACAAGAAGTTACTGGGAGTGAAAGAATAAGAGAGAAAGAGAGACATTATTAAGGATCGAGAACAATAAAAGAAAAGGAATCAAGAAGTCAGTAGATAACGATTGACATTGCATTTAAATACCTGAAGGTCAAAATTGGCTGTAAAGCATCTCGCCGGAAGAGAATTCCATAAAAGAGAAGTGCGAGTGAAGAAAATGTTAACATAGAACTTACGGTTACGTCTTGCCAATTCAACTGTAAATTGATGAGACCTTTTTGCCAATCTAGTACAGCATTTGCACTCATAAAGTCTACGTACCAGAGTGAAGAGATCATCCGAACACTTACTATGAAGGTATTTATAGAAAGGGCAGAGAGAAGCAACTTTACGGTGGTGGGAAAATGGCTGAAACCGAGATGCCAGGTCAAGAAAACTAATATTGCTGATTCTCCTTTGTATTTTTATCAAGAATCAGCAATATTGTTGGTCCTGAAGTATTATCCCAGCTTCAGTTAATTTCTCACTGCCGAAAAGTGCGAGTGAAGGAAATGTTAGTAGAGAACTTGCGGTTACATTTAACCAATCAACTTGTTGTTAAATAGTATGAATATTCAGGACGTATTTGGTAGTGACTCTCCACAATTTCTTTATCTGTGAATCACCATGATTACTTTGTAAACATTGGAGAGGTTTCACTTTATAATCGGTTTTAAATTCAGAGATGTTTTCCTTCTAGACTGAATGACACACGCGTCCAAAGATCTAAATCTCTCCGTCTATTGATACCTTCCCCGAGGGCATTAGTACGAAGGGAACAGATAGGGTAGCGATGTCAGAACTCGAATATTGGAATATTTAATCAGCTGATTAATTGACCACACCATAAATTAAGACACACATATTTATTTATATGCGGATTATTTTCCTCACCTTTGTTGTCGTTATCCCAACGTTCCGTCTGTTGGGATCTTCGGCCTTCATCAGGTCCTCCGGTTAAACTTCAGGGACAATGGCCTACTGGATAAAAGTGTTGGTTCGTAAATTTGGTAATATAGCAATTGTGAGTTTAAATCCGGGCCGGGGAAGAGTGTACTTGGAATCAGTGGAATATATACTGAAACAAAGAGGAAAAGCTATTCAGACAACGTGTTTCACCTCCATATAGTATGTGTTTTGAGTTCGGTATGAAAAAGTAATTAAGGAGTGTTATGAAAGTAAGTTAGAGTTTGTGGAAGCATCTAATTGTTTCGTACTGAAGACGTCAATGTCTGCTGGATTTGAAAGTACATCTCTCCATTAAACAACTAATAAGTTTGGTATGATCAAGGTTTTTAAAGATTAACCCAGTCTGGAGTTTGACCGTTAAGAATGGTCAGAGCACTGGTCTTTCAATACATTTGCTTCTTACTGAATTGTAACCAGACTTGTATTTTTTAGGTTACTATCTATCTATCTCTCTCTCTCTCTCTCTCTCTCTCTCTATATATATATATATATATATATATATATATATATATATATATATATATATATATATACACTAATACTCGTTTTGGAAAAAAAGAAACAGATACCTCAACTTGTAGATATGTCTAAACAAATCAGTACCCGAGGAAAAATTATAAAGAAAAATAAAACTAAAAACATCCGAAGAAAAAAAAAAAGCGAGTAATATATATATATATATATATATATATATATATATATATATATATAATAATCAGAGTAGCCCTCATAATTTTCGTGGATTAGGGGCATATTGTGCCACAGATGGAAAAAATGTAGCAGCTGATCTATTTTGTTTAAGTTAGGCACTGCCTACCTTGCCTACATAGATAGCACGCCCCTGATACACAAAGAGGCGCGGGCACACACACACACACACACACACATACACATATATGTATATATATATATATATAGTATTAATATGAGTAAAAGCTGATTGATGTTACCTTCAGCATCCCGATTCTACAGATTCGTAGGCGGACCTGTACGTCTCCTCGTCAGTGGGTGTCAGCAGTTGACGGCTTATATTTTTCCGATATTTTTCCTTTTTATACACATATACTATAAGGCGTAACTCGCTAATACGAACTA